TTATATGATGCATGCCCAAATTAAAGACCTTATTGTACTTTTTGTTTGCCTCTCCATGATCAACATTCTAACAAATTAACAACTTAGGAATTAACATCTGAATGGATGAAGGAAAGAATTCTTATAGTTTAGAATGTTTAAAAGAATGTCTAAGAGTGTAAAATAGCTCTTGATAGTCTTATAAATGTGTTACTATCTTATAATAACTTTACATTTGAATAATACCCTGAATTAGGATTATAATAGATTGACTAATTAGTAAAAGGCTTATTTTAAATGAAAAGTATCGAAGAAGACTTGTTTAAACAATTTAAACAAGCAATTGAATAAATAAAATCAATTATAGATGAAATCATAAAAAAAATAAAACCTTAAACAAATATAAAGTAAAATTATACTATATAAATTTCATAAAAACCAAATTTAAATCCTTTCATCTTTGACCTTATAAATTAAAATTCAATTAAGTAAAATGAATGGTGTCGGGCTATTGCTTTTAATAAAGATAACTCCATCGTGATAGCTGGATGTGATAAGGATATTAAAGTATTTCAACATACTTAAGGGAAACTGAATTAAATTTAATCATTAAGTGAGCATAAATATTAAGTCTAGACTTTAAATTTTATGTAATATACGAATAATTTTGTATCCGGAAGTGGTGATAATTCAATTATAATATGGAAAGTAATTGGAATTAATTAATGGTAATGTTAATAAATATTGAATGGACATTCAAACGCTATATTTTGTTTATTGTTAAATAACACTGATAATTTAATTATTTCAGGTAGCGAAGACACAACAATAAAATTTTGGATGAAATCGGATTAGTGGTTGTGTTAATAAACCATAACTGATCATACTCATTATTTATATTCATTAAGTTTAAATGAACAATAAAATAAATTGATATCTTGTTCATATGATTCATAAATATTAGTAATAGAAAAGCAACATTTGGCTAGAATATGGTGTGTTACATAAAAGATAAAAGTAGATTATTATGGTTATAGATTATGTTTTATTAATGATGATTAATTTACATTCTAACCTAGATGTAAAGAATAAATGGTTGTTTATGAGTTGGATAGTAATACTAAAGAATATAAGAAAACAAAGGAAATAGCTGTTAAGTGTGGTTCAAGTGTTGAACCTCGTTTATTTCCATAATAATACTTAGCATCAAAGTGTCTTCTTGTGAATAAGAATGGCAAGAATGTTAATTTTATGAGGAGAAAAGAAAATGGTGACTTTCTAATTATATAATCGATTGAATTTGGTCATTGTGATATTTATGGGTAATTAAGTGATGACGGAGAGTATTTGATCACTTGGGATTATGAATCAAAGGAAATACAAATAAGAAAGTGTAGAGAATTATGAAAATTTATAAAATGTAAGAAAATTTAATTATAAATTTATTTAATTTAGCCATTATTAAATTAAGAATAATTTAATACAATTTTATTATTTTGCCTCTATCTGTATTAACTGTAGAAAGCTCATCACGATGTTGTTGTAATGCATTTGATGTTCACCTAAAAAAGGAAAAAATCACTTGCTCATCATAATAGTAGAGAAGCCTATTTATTATTTTTTTCATTGTCCTTTTTTTAATTCATATCCTTAATTAAGTTCACTTAATTGAATAAAAAAATG